GAATTGATTTTCCCGAAAACAATGCTTGGATATGGTTCGCACAAACTTCAGAGAACTCTAGCTTTGTGGTTCGCTTGAGCTCATTTATTGGTAATAATGCTTCAGATTCCTTTAAAAAAATCATCTTGTATTGCTTATTATGTTGTCCTTTGGTCAAATGAATAAACGAAACCTAATTGAGGTGAATAGTCTTTATTATTATTATTATTATTATTATTATTATTATTATTATTATTATTATTATTATCATTATTATAATTATTTCAATTTACCTATAAATTAAAATAATATTTACGATTATTTCTGCCGTAAATGTGTTTTTGTTTTATATTTGTAATACTTGCAAATGGTAATGTAAATTAGGTATTTTTCCTTTTTTTTATTACTACAGAGAGCAAAATTATTAACATCGCGGCTAATGAATCATATATCATAGACAATAATTCACATTCGATCAACTCGTGGCTTGAATACGGCTGTTTAGTTTTCAAGTCTTCGTCTGGTTATCATTTCAAGTTGACGTTTTTGAATGATATCTTGGACTTAGGAAAGACGCCTGAATTATATTACCCAAAATATAACAAGATAGCTTTTGGTTTAGGATCGGACCCATTGAAGTACAATGTATTCATATTAGAATCTAAATACGACGACATGTTGGAGCTGTACACGGATGCTATTTGGTTGAAAATGGACGGAAATGGGCCGTATGCTATTGGAATCATTATTTCAACTATACCTACAAGAAAAGGTAACTATGGCTGGTGTAAGGAAAAAATGGCCCCGGAAAAATGGCCCCGGTAAAAATGGCCCCAAATGACAGGTAGGTAAAAATGGCCATAAATGACAAGTAGGTAAAAATGGCCCCAATAATAAAATTCTGTATTAAAACTGATTTTTTTAATCATTATATGCATTTTTTTAAACTGAAATAATTTAGTTTTTCGAAGGAATCTAACATCAAATTTACATTTACATTTCACTTTTTGCAGAAATTACATGTTTAATAATAAAATATTCCAAGATTTAAAAAAAGCCATGAATAACACTTTTTATTTTTTTCCCATTTAAATGTTAAAAAATAGCAACAACATAATTAATAAATCAACATAAATCATGCATTTATTAATAATAAAATAATTTATTTGTGGCCAATTTCAAGGAAGCGGAATCACGATTTTCCTGAAATTCAATCCGGGCATTGGAAAGCATGGGCCATTTTTTCCTGGACCATTTTTACCGTGGCCATTTTTACCTACATTCTACATATGGCTACTATCTTAGAGAAAATTATAATAATGTACGTCAATTGAAACGAGATGGCGCCAGCGGATGGGCGAGCTGGGTTCAGGCTCGGTCGTCGGAAATCATGGTAAATCTGCTTGGAAAATTAATTAGTGGATGCAGAGCGCCTGAGAGTGCCAAGTTTTTTTTTTTTTTCTCAGTCCCAATGGGGCTGATGTGGTTCTTGCCCATCTATCAGAGAACGATAGACCACTTGTCAAGAAAATTCTGGCCTCCAAGTGACTCTGAATTGAAAAATGTTGGCTATGTATCATATTCATAGCCGAAAGGTCCACTGATTAATCTCAGATGAGATAGTATAATACATACTCTAAGTATCGAAATGCACGCCTTCATGATTCCTGATGATGACATAATTAATGTCGAAATATTGAATCCCGACACGATGGCGTGCATATCCACAGCCTGTTCTAGGATTATTATCAACATTAATTTTAATGTAGGCCTATTTATTAATTAATAATTATTATTATTATCATTATTATTAGTAGTAGTATAATATAAAAAAAAATGAAATTATAGATAAAATGAAGAACCAACAATGAGTGATAAACGTTGCGATCACATTCTACTCAAATCTTCCAGATTATAGAAGACACATACTTGTTGACGATGTTGCAACAATAACTTATTCATCGTCAGAGATTGATGATGTTCAAGAAAATAGTAATGTCACTACCACAGTATGGATTGTCACCTCTTTAAGACACCCGAACATTGCAGTGAAATTTATCAACTTCTCTTATGGAACATCTGAATTTAATTTTATTACTATTGGATACGGTCTCAATCCCGAATTGTCGTCCTCAATCCTTTACCACGGTCTTGCCTTAGATTTCAAAAGAACGCTTCCCGATGATTTCATCATCCACTATTCAACATTCTGGGTTCGACATACCTCATACCGCCGAATAAATGATACAAGTTTTTCTCTTGAGCTTCGAGGCCTACCAAATACAGGTACTTTTCTCTTGTTATTGTTCATATTAAGCCAAACCTCTTTCTTGAATAGTTGTGGACCAACTTATAAACACAGTCCATACTAAAAGAAAAAAACAACATGGAAGTAGTTACCACTCAGTTTTATTACAAAATAACTTTAATGTATGTTTAATGTTTTATCGTCAATGTGCTTGCTTGGGCAGATATGGTTCTAAAAACTTGTTTCAGATTTTTGTCTAACCTTCCTCTTCATGTTTTTACTTTTTTTAAATTAGAGAAATATATTAACTACTTGTTTAGAAATAACATTTGATATTCAAAATAATAACATGTATTTAGATCCTAAGATAGTAAGATTAATATATTTTATTTAAGAGAAATAAGAAATAAGAGAAATCAGGTTTTTTTTATTAGCCTACTTTAGTCATTAAATGGAAAAATGTTTGGCTTTGCTTTGAATTAATTGGTTGATTTGGTGGACGCAATTTTCCCGGAGCGGCACACTCAACAGAAAATGTGTAGAGCACGTTGTTCCTGGTTACTTATTTGGGATAAGTAGGTAAAAGGTGCGTGTCATGAGAATGGGCTATATTTCTCGTCTGGGACGCCACTCAGAGCTGCAACACTTAGGGTTCTGGTTCTCTTGAAATAGGGTACTTCATAGCCGTAATGTACGTATGCAAGTGTAGGTGTACTATCACTGAGGGTGGAGGGGATAGTTTGACACTGCAGTTTCCCTATAAATTTACCCACCCAAAGCTTGTATTTCTTATTAGAATCGATTAGAAAACTACAACTCGTGCAAACAATTTACAATCATTTCGACAAGTTCAAAAACCTCTGCCCCCTGATGAGCTGTGGGAGTGGCCAAGGAAGTGTACCTTTCATGGTCTCACCTAGGTTAACAAGCATAATGTTTTTATTACTTTACTTGTAAAAAATGAAGAATCTACTTTTAACAGTGCTGCACATTACAGTGCTCCTGCTTGATGAGGATCAGTAGTGGAAATTAATGCTAACTGATGGAAATAGCTCTTGTAAATCATTGTATTATTTAATTTGGTTTCAGATAATTTATTATGCCCTACAAAGTTCGGCGTAACTAAGGAAGATACCTGTGACGATGAGTTTGATTGTCCTGATCTTAGAGACGAAATTGACTGCACTGATGCAGGTAAACGTGCTTTTGGCAACTATAATCTCGTACATAAACTGCATCTGCACAAACATAATATAGATTAGATATGGGTGGATATA